ATAGCTAATAAAATTTAAGAAGGGTGAACACACCAGTTATGGAAAGGTTGGACTTTAAATGTAAATAATAAGCTTCCTTGTTGATTTAAAGATTCCAGTTTTTTCTAGATTGAAGAACAATGCCCTCCGTTGACAACTGTATAAACAAAGTTTCCAAAAGAAAATTTTAAATTGTTGTTTCTATAGTGCTCTTGATGTCAGTGTGTTTCGTACGTTTATCAAGGTTTTATGAGCAGGGGTTTACTCAAGGGAATTCCAAATCAGCACTGCGGTGGGTAAAGATGGAACAAATTTTGACGGTGAGATAGCGGCGATCCTCATAGCCTTAAGAACATTGTCTAGAAGGCAGGATCAGAGCGCTGTTCTCTTCATCGACTTTCAAGCAGCCATCCATCCGGTTACAAACACGAATGAATGTCTATCGAGTGCTATATTGAAATGCGAGTTCCTCCTCTCTAACCTGACACTCCGAGGCACCAATGTGGTCCTACAGTGGATCCTCAGCCATTGTGGGATTCCTGGAAACGTTGAGGCTGATAGTCTTGCCAAGCGAGGAACAGCTTTGCCTCAGATGATAGATCCAAAACCTTACGATTCAATACGGCAAATGGTAAAGATGGTAGTGAAGGAAGAAACAAGAAAAGCACATTTGGGCAAAGTAGAAGGGAAACGTTATGAGTGTTTGAAGGATAATCTGATTCCAGTTGAACGGCCAAGAAGAGATGCAGTTGCCTGTTTCTGCCTGGACACTGGTTACAACTATCTGCAGAGTCATCTCTACTAGGATCCTAGTTGTAAATTGTGTCATCGAGGAACAATGGATGTAGACCATCTAGAAACATGTCCTGCTTTGAGGGACATAAGAGAAATTTTTTTAAAAATATATATATTAAAAAATCTAAATTATATTGGGCAGCCAGATATCGGATGGACAAATGACCAATGACTGGTATAAGAAAAAAAAAATTGTTTACCATTAGGTAACAATTGAATTTTGGGGTGTCCATCACTAGTACAAAAAGATGTTTTGTTTTTTTTTAAATGGAGCTTATATCTGCATAACTATTTTTTTTTTTCAATTTTGAAGTATTAAATAGAAAAAGGAGACTCTAGAGATTGTAAATGTCCAATGGAGAAGTTTATAATTACAATAATTACGGCAGTATAAACCAAAAAAGACAAAAAAATCCTTAGCTATGTCTATCACTGGTGCGCTCACCCTAATATCCAAATATTTTGGTAAAAATTGATGAAATGGTTAGTTATTGTTTATAATAATGATTAGTTACAGGAGAGAAATAAAAACTACGGTTTAAATCAAATATTATTATTGTAGGGATATAAGTTAATGACTGATCTTATTTTAGCCATTTGAGAAAGTAATTTATTTATTTTAATTTATGTGAAAAACTTCAACATATAATTACGATAAGTTAATAATTGTCTGTGCTTTAAGTTAATGAAAAGAAAATTATTCTTAAAAAAAAAACTTACATGAATAGCTTCTGGAAAATGATTCCGCATTTGAGACAACATGGTTGGTATATTTTCTGCTGGTACATCTTGCAGTGAGAGAGTCTCTCCATTTACAGCAACGGGTTCCATTCTTAAAAAAAATAAAAAAAAAATAAAGGTAAAAGGTAGTCTAGAAGTCTTATAAATATTTTCATTAGATTTTTAAACTATTTTAATGTTTATTCAAACAATACATCTAGATGAATGTTATCGATTTGTATTAAAAAATACAATGCTTCCCTATCTTCCATAGTGAAGAAGCAATAGAGAACCTTTAATCAAAAAGAGTCCATTCAAAGTTTTGACTTAGGGATATTGTTTGGACTAGAAAGGAGGTAAACATACTAAAAGTCAACACTCCTAGCTGGTGAGCCAGATGTGAGGGGATGCCTAGGTCACTTTTTTCGGGTTTTCGTTTATATCAGGAAAATTATCCATCACATCTACAAAAACGTCCTATACAAATTTAAAGCTGATGAAATTTGCAATATGATTGATTATATAGCATTTTTCGCTATCTCGTTTAGTTTTCGAAATATCCCTCCTGAACTATTGCTAATATGGAAACAACATTTTTTACCTCATGTTTTTTACTGTATTTAACTAGGTAACTCTTGATAGTTTCGTTCTACAATTAAGTCATGTGGAAGAAAGTTATTAATAATTAAATTTTCTTCAAGTATATATATTATTTAACTAGTTTATCATCAACGGTTCTGAAGTTAGATCAATTATTATAATATTCGTTATTATATTGCTTTAACTCTCTATGAATCTAAATCTCGATGTATATACATACATACAACAACTGTTAAACATACAATGTTATAAAAAAAAAAAAAAATCCTGCCAATTCTAGGAACTGATATGTAAAGTTATAACTGATCTAACTTCAGAACCGTTGATGATAAACTAGTAAAATAATATAGATTCTTGAAGAAAATAACTTTTGACTATAACTTTCTTCCTCATGACTTAAACCTTGAACGAAGCGATCAAGAGTTAAAGTTCGTGGCACAGACCTCTTTTTTCGAATTATTAACATCCGCCTGAAACTTCGTAAATAGTTTCACCTCATCTTAACCTACAACTATTTTATTTACGACAATTCTTGGAATTGGAGCGTTTTCAATTTGGATGGGAACAAATTTTGTCTATTTAATTAGGTACTAAAAACTCGTAAATACTCATTTCATTTCTACTTGGATCGTAAAATAATTTGATCACAAAATAGAGAAAAAAGGTGGCCTACAAAAATATTGGGCCGTTTTTCCTATATAACCTCATTATTTTGAAAATTTGGGGGTGTAGGTCACGCCAAACGGCTCAATATTTTTGAAGGCCACTTTTTTTAATCGATTTTTTGATCAAATTATTCTACGATCCAAGTAGAGAGTAAATAGGTATTTATGAGTTTTTAGTACCTAATTAAATAGACAAAGTTTGCCCCCTCTATATTGAAAACGCTCCAATTCCAAGAGTTTTCGTAAATAAAATAGTTGTAGGTTACGATGAGATGAAACTATTTATTTAGTCTGTACCATGGACTAAAATAACAATAAAAGTTCTGACAAGAATGAAACAGTTCCTTAATTCAGTCGTGTATTATCTAGATGAATCGTAATTTCAAAATGTAATATAATACAAAATTATAGTTTCTCCGTCAAATATTTGAAATAGTTAATCAAAATGATTACTTTGATTTTCCTTATTTAAAATATTTAAATAAGTAATGAAATTTATAGAGGAACAGATGTATTATTTTCATTAAGAGGGATGACACAACGGAACGGAAACGAACAATGACACGAATGACGGACGAGATATCAAAACAAAAACAACTGCTATTATTTTTTTGAGAAAGGAATTTGTCTTGAGATAGATGGTTGACTGTAATGAATAATTTAAGAGAAGAATGGTTGGAGTGATCAGTCAAAAAAATTATTAAAAATAAATAATTATATTTATTTTTATTTTTGCCGATGTTTCGGCCTAAAGTTCAGGTCTTCATCAGGGCTAAGAAAAAAGCAGATACCAATAGATATGAGAAACTATAAACATTGAATAATAAACAATTAAAACTAAAAAGAAGAAAGGTATAGACTAAAAATGTAATAAGAATAAACTTAAAGTAAAATAAAGTAGATAAAGTGAACATAAAAGTAAAATAAAGTAGGTAGAATAAAAACAGTAACAAAGAACATAATAATAATAATAAAAGGCTTAGCGAACCCGAAGGTTCGATGCCGACACCACCAATCGCTCATCACACACCTCCTTCCACCGTCCATACCATGTCCCTTCAGCTCGGCTTTAATGCAATCTTCCCACCTTCGCTTCGGTCTATCCCTCGGACGTTTACCATTAGGTACAGCAAATATTAACTTTTTAGGAATTCTCTCGTTACTAAGCCCAACAATTTTAAAGGCTCATTTGATACACCGGGATGAAATCACCTCAATTATATTCCTCGGATATAGTTCACAATTAGGCGTTGTGTAACCGTCTGGATTCTCCGGTTAATTCATCCTTCTTCGGTCCGAATATTCTACGCAATACTTTATTTTCAAAAACCTTAAGTCGCTGCTCATCCCTTAATGTAAGCGGCCAAATTACGCAAGCATAAAGAACTGTAGATAAGACAATGGTTTAATAGATTCAAATTTTTAAGTTGCGGAACAAGAGGGGCGAGCTAAGCAGTTTTGTCACAGAAAAATAACAAGCATTTCCCGCCTTCAGTCTAACCTTAATCTCCTATTCAATTTCGTTTTTTCTAGTTATCGTAGAACCTAGATACCTTCTCTACCTGTTCAAACATATTACCATCTATATCGATATCACCAGTAATATCCGGTTCATGGACTCATTGTTGGTCAGCGAGTCTATCGGACTTAGCCGGGAGGAACTTCCAGGGAATTTCCACCGACCATCCCCACATCCGCCACCCGTGGGACGCTCCCCATACGCGGTAATGAGCCCGCGCGAGGGTAACAAAGAACTAAGAAATAAATAATAATGACAACAAAGTATGGACTGATGAAATAAATATAATCAAAATAAGGTAATATAAGAAATGGAAAATTAATTAATAACGAAAAGTAGTGGAATGTATAAGATAATAAACGTAAGCGTAGACAAGAAAAATAAAATAAATGGGGTGACATAGTTGCTGAAATATGATGTAATAGTATGCTAAAAGGAAGTGAGATAATCGTAGAATAAGATGTAAAAAAAAAAGAAAAGCAATATGAAGTATATAGGATATAGATTAAGTAAGAATAAAAGATTAGTAAAACTAGAGAGAAGGCGAGCATGGAGGGGGGCGCCCGCCACTTTTTGGAAATTAAAAAAAAATACAAAGTCTATGAGAATAATTAATTTTAGACTATTAATAAAGCAACATAATTAAAAAAACGCACTGAATGGAATACAATTTATATATTACTTAATATAAAACAGTTTAAAAATAAATTAAATGTTTTGTGGAGATATTGTATGAGAACACTGACACCAAGAAACATATTTTATTTTCGTGCTTTTATCACAATCAATTTCAGATTACAATTGTTGTAAATGATTTAATTAACGAATATAAATACATTTATTTCTTGTAATTCAAGTATATTTAATAATAAAAAAAACATGGTTAAATTCTATAAACGATATTAATTGAAAAGGCAGTTGGCACCATTTGAATATTAAAATTTCTGAAGTCCGCATAGTTCAAGCATCGTATAGGTTCACTTTCGCGGGTGTTTCGTTATTTTCTTAAATATATCTGCTTAATTTCAACAATAAGCAACTGACTTCAAGGTATTTTTTTAGAACTACAGTAAGTAAATACTTGAAACAATGTCAGTACCTTAATTTGAAGATTGTCGGTTTTTCTAAAACGTTCATAAAACTGAATCTCACCGAAGCTTATTTCAGTAATTTATGTTTTAAATTTCTCAGATAATGTTATTTTAAATGAACATCTGATTTATAAATATTAATAACTGAATAGTAGGCAAATTACACAGTTTATTACAATATTTGTTAACACTAATGAAATTATCTGGGTTTTTTTCAGTTTGTATAATTTTTGGCAAATCAAATAAATAGTAAATAGAAAATTAAAGTTTTAAAATGATTTCTTTTATATCTGTTGAATTTAAAGTAATAATTTAATTTAATCTTAAACATTTAAATTTGTATTTATCTAATCTCTCATTAAGGACTTAATTTATTTTTTTGGAAAAGGTTTATTTTTTTTACTTTATAACAACTTCACCCTTTAAGTTTTTCTTTTTAATGTTTCAGAAATGCCGATTCATCTCCTCACACTGCTGAATCAACAAGTATGTTGTTAATTGATGATTATTTTTAATAGTTTAGATATTTTAAAGTACTATTACATTAAGATATGATAAGCAAATTAAATTTATGTATGTATTAATTTTTATCCAATTTATTTTGTAATTTAAAATTCACTGTAAATACTTGAGATACTTTGGCCTGCAATCTTTGAATGGTTTGCTTTATTTCTATTGTAATATTATATATATATATATATATATATATATATATATATATATATATATATATATATATATATATATATATATATAAATATATATATATATTTTTTTTTTTTTTTTCATTACATTACAGATTTTGTAGCCGTCTTAACAAGTCTGTTCTATCACTGCCTGTCTTGTACTATTTCTTCCCAGTTATCTGCACGTAGCTACAATCACATCTTGATCCTATCTATCCATTTGCTTTTTGGCCTTCCATATGGTCTTTTGCTTTCTATTGAGATATTCATTGTTATGTAGAGGCTTCCAGATGGATTGAAAGGAGATACATGCTCCGCCCATCTTAACCTCCGTGCCTTCATATCATGGGATATTGATTGACCAGTTTCTGTAACCAGTTCTTCATTGGTCTTTCTTCTTTTCTCCTTATAAGCTTTAAAAATATTTAACAAAAAAGTAAAAGAAAAATATGTAAAATTAATACAAACAATTAGGTTGTCAGGAAACTTGTTTTAATACACCCCATGATGGGAATGACAATTCAAATATTTCATCAATTTACTTGCTTTAAAAGTCATGTAAATATATTTCATAATTATTATTATTTTGAAGATAGAAAATATTAAAATTAAAAAGATGTCTGTTAATTTTTTTTTATTTCTGATATTTTTAGGTATGTTTTCATTGCATCTTTACATCATAATGTATTTTTTTTTAAATTAATTAATCATAACAATGTTATGAGTTCTATAACATTTCTTTTGAACGATTTTCCATGCATAATTCATTCATCGTATTGAATTAACTATTAGTTTTTATATTTATTATAGTCAGTTTAAGTGTTTTCATGTTTATTCAAATATTTGAGTGAACATTATCTTTTATTATAACAAATATAAATATTGCAGACCATAAGCTGCAACATTGTTTATTTATTTTGGAACTGTTGCTTTATATTTTGGCATTTTATTTAAATAATAGTGATGACAACATAGATCTTTAAGAGAAAGAAGTTGTTAATTGTTTATTTAATGTTTAAATTTACTTGTAAGCATTAAATATATTTTTTAAATCCTTAGAAGTGTAAACTAGCATAAATAATATACATTTTTCTGTTTTAAGAAAAGTATCTGACTGAATTATTATAGCATAAAATTCACTTCAAAGTATTGTCTTAAAATAGATTTTGTCTTATCAGGGCGGAAACAAATACCTTATTTTCACTCCAACACTTACAGAAAATGTCGTAATATTATCTTGCTCCTTAAATCAACATATAAACTAACTAAATATTAACTTTTGAAATGTTATACTGTCGTAACAGTTGTAAAGAGAATACTAAATATAATTTATTTTGACATGAATATATCATATTCATAATCTATGATAATCTGTATAAACTTTGATAAATTAAATATCCCATAATCTACAAAAAAAAAAAAAAGCTAAAAATACTAAATATTTTCATTAATAAGGGGATTTATGTGCAATAAAAAAACTAATAAGTAAGATATTCATGTTCTTATTTTATTATTTAAATAACATAAGAAAAAAAATATATATATATAAAATTAAATTAATTGTTCCTACTAATTATATTCTGCGAGTTTTACTTCAATATATATTGACTTATTAAATATTTAATGAGTAATGTTATGTTTTTAGCCATGTTGTAAAAATTTTACAGACTTTAAAGGTTTTAGCGGTAAACCAAATAACAATAGTTATTTGTGTAACCAATAATAATAAATTCATTCAAAGAAGTCAAATTACTGTAACTTAAATTAGCAAAATAATAATGAAAAATCGACTAAGATGTGTGCTTTAGACCACACAGTAAAAGCGAAAACATCAACAAGGCGAGATAAATAATATGAAATATAAATTATAAATAATAGATGGGTGATAAATATTCAGGACGCAGTCTTTTTTAAAAATTTTTTTTTATTTTTGCCAACGTTTCAACCCAAACATGTGGGTCATCTTCAGGGCGTGGTTTGAGCACTGAGGTTGTTCATGTACATGAACCACGACCTGAAGATGATCCACAAGTTTGGGTTGAAACGTTGGCAAAAATAAAAAAAAAATTTAAAAAAGACTGCGTCCTGAATATTTATCACCCATGATATGTAGAACAGTCGACTAACTTCCTTCAAGAATTTATAAATAATAGATGATAATAAAGATGATGAAATGTGGAACATTTCCCTCGCTTACAGTTTGCAGGTCCGATTTTTAGTTTCTGAGATATTTTAATCCAAATTTTCAATAAAACTCTTTATTATTAGGTTTTGAAACTATTTTTTCCCTTTTCGCCCCTCTAACACGACTTCGCGTTACTATACAATTTTGAATAATAGTTCATTACAGAGAGGATGAAATGGTGAACATTTTACTCACTAATAATATGTAGATCCAATTTTTAGTTTTTGAGATATTTTAATCCATATGCAAAAATACTTCAATTAGTCGTCTCCAGCTGAATTTAGTGAGCGTTACACATCAGAGATTTGACAACTAAATCTAATTCACTCTCCATGAAAAAAGTGCAGAACGCGCGCCTAAACTAGTTTTCATTTCAAAAATAAAACAGATTTTGACGAATAACAAAAGGGAACTCTCCAAACCCATTTAAATTTACACTAATAATATTTCTTGCCACTATATTTTTTTTACAGCTGATAAGACAGAAATAAATTTTCTTTGACATTAATTATGAACCTCATGGGTAAAAATTCTTCGGCTTACTAACAGAGCTACCTCCATTTTATTTTAATGTCGCTACCATCTTTATGCAAACGATATGTAATCAACTTTTTTTTTAGGAGACAAAAAAAATTACACATTTTACTTTAAACTTTCCTATAGCGAATTATTTTTTTATCTAGAGTTTTTGTTTCTCTGAGTCTCGGATTTGTGTTTTAAAGGTTTTATTAAAAAAAAAATGCTTCTGGTAAATTAATAAAATTATTCCAAACTTATGTATATAAGAATTAGAATATCGGCACACTTTTTGTGGTTCACAGACTATGTTGTCAGTTTATTGTAATAAGTATTTCGATGATTTTATCGAACCTTCTGAAATAACAAATTTTTTATTTATTGTAAATATATTTGATTATAAAAATATTTATCTCATTTTGAAATTTGAAAAAACCTACTTAGAACTTCAATTCCATCAAAAATGTATTAAATGACTTTTAAAAATAAACATATGAACTATACTATGCAAGTTGCTTAAAATTACAATAGCTATCTTACTAATTAAAGGGATTAAAACATACAATAAAATTTGAAATGATAAATAAGCATTATACAAATCCAAAAATTAATGAAATAACAATATATTCTAAAATATGCAATGGTTTTATAAAAATATTAAAGAGCTGACAAACAAAAAATGGGGTAAAGGAATTGGATAATTTAAAATATTCTTCATAATTGTTTGTTTACTAAATAATTTCAAATTTTAATTTACAAGAAATTAACAGTACAAGGAAAAACAATGAATAAATCAGATTCATTTTTTATAAGTAATAATATTGAAAAATGTGTGAGAAAAAAATATAATTTCCATTAATTAGCATATATTAATAAAAATACAATTTTAACATAATGAGGAATTCATTAGGAAATCTTGATAATGTCTATTCTTTTTTCAACAGTAAATATCTACAGAAATCACACTAAAATTAAAAATATATAAGGATTAACTTTGAACTTTTAATTAAAGAAACTAACTACATTTAAAATAGGTAAGATTAGAAAACCAGTGTAATACTAAATATAAATTTATAAACAGAAGATTTAAAAAAAAAAAATTGAACCTACTACACTATAAATATGAAGAAGACACAAACCAACAGCAACTGACACTAGAATACTGCCCTAAACAAACCAGGAGGTTATACAACAACAAAACCACGCCCACTTCTGATCTTTCACTGACCTTTTTAATTTATTTTTTAAATATCAACTTTTATTGAGTGAACTTTATTATAATTTAAATGTGACCTTTCATTAACATAATACCTTGTGCCAAAAGACAGTAGTGGATTTATGAGGGGGAGGGGTTTTAGGGCTGAAGCCCCCCTCAAAATAGAAAATATATTTTTTTTAAATAGTCCATATCTGTTTCTGTGTGTGATATGAACCAAATAATAATCAATTAAAATATATTTTCTATTTTAAAGTTATAACGCCTAAGTTTCAGCTACTTCATCTAAGCATAAAGAAAAATGATGTAGAGATGGTTGACAGTTGATATAATATGAGAAGGAGTTGATCGGGGGGTGCGGTCAAATAAATACTAAATTAAACAAATAGTATTATATAATTTTTGCCGACGTTTCGACCCACTTTGCTAGTCTTCATCGGGGCTACATCCTACGTCCTGATGAAGACCTACACAGTGGGTCGAAACGTCGGCAAAAATTATATAACACTATTTGTTTAATTTAGTATTTATTTGACCGTACCCCCCGATCAACTCCTTCTCCTATAAAGAAAAATATTTCTAAAACCAATATTGTTCCAGTACTTCCTTATTTAAAAATAAAACAGACTCATTCTTGAGTCTTGCGGCGCCTCATAGTGGTGGCAATCACATTATTTTTCGAGGAAAAAATTCCCCATCTTAGACATACGACTTCAATGCTCAAATGGGTGTCTTTGTTATATTTATTTTCGTTTTCTGAATCGAATGAAACAAAAAGTAAATCCGCTTTACGCGTTGAAAAATGGGAGAATGTTTTTTCATAATAAACCATTCAAAACTTTTCATGGTTTACTCCTATTTCAACGTTTCTATAACTGTTGGAAAGCTTTATGATATATATATATATATATATATATATATATATATATATATATATTCATATACTTTAAACACCAGGAAATATAATATATAACAAGTTAAAAATCCATAAATAACCAAATTAGAAACCAATAATATAAAGAAAAAATAAAATTAGAGAGGAGTTGATCGGGAGGAGGGGGGGGGGAGGGTTCGGTCAAATAAATACTAAATTTTAAAAAATAGTAATTTTAACTACTACGCCGACGTTCCGACCCATCTTGCAAGTCTTCGTCAGGGCTACAAAATATAAAAAATATAAGAGGTACATGAGATATCAGAGATCAGTACATGACATCAGAGATATAGTGGATGACAATGTAGTTAAAATATCAAGTATTATATATAAAGAAGATACAAACAAAAATAGAAAATAAGTATGAATAAAAATAGAAAACAAAGGAGAATATACCTATATTGTTTTCTATTTGTCATCTCTGATGTCATCTTATTATTTCTTTATCAGACAACTGTTTCTTATTTAATATCTACTTATAATTCATTTATTTTATTTTCACCGTGTACCTTTTATATTTTGTATATTTTGTAGCCCTGATTAAGATAACCTACAAGGTGGGTCGAAACGTCGGCATAATAATTAAAACTACTATTTTTTAAAATTTAGTATTTATTTGACCGCATCCTCACCCCTCCCCCCCCCATCAACTCCTTCTTATATTATATCACGGTATACCATCTCTACATCATTAAAAAATAAAATTGTATAAAATATTTTTGTTTCACCCCATAGGGCGCATTCGCAAAAACCCTCGGACATGGGTCTAATATTTTTCGACCTAATAACACCAAAAAAGATTTCATCAATATCAGTGAACCAACGTCCGTATTCTCTCCTTGTAATACTTCAAAATACCGTTAATGTTTTGTGTAAGAATTGGAAATCGCTCTTTCTTTTGTATTTTTAAGGGTTAAATCCCTTTATTCCCAGTCCGCTGGTGTTCCTCAAGGTAGTATCCTAGGTCCTATCCTCTGTACAGTTTATACAGCTGACATTCCTACCTGACCCAACACTGTCATCACCACATATGCCGATGACACATGTATCCTATCAGTAAATAATGGCCCAGCAATTGCATCCCAAATGCTTCAATCACACATCATAAATCTAGAAGAATGGTGTCAAAACTGGAGAATTAAAATAAACTCCAATAAATCCTACCAAAGTACCTTTACCCTTCGTCGTACACCAACTACTTCCTGTCCTACAGTTTTCTTTAACAATACTCCACTTATCCCTGTTGAGCAAATCCGATACCTAGGACTCCACCTGGACAAACGACTAACTTGGAATCCTCATACTAGACTGAAACGACAAGAAACCGCTCGACGTTTCCGATTACTTCAGCACTTACTAGACAAACGCTCTAAACTTCCCATTAATTACAAAAGACTCATATACATGACTAAAATAAGACCTATTTGGACTTAGGGAGTTGAGCTATGGGGCTCCACTAAGCCATCGAATTCCTCTCGCATCCAATCCTTACAATCCAAAATCCTACGTAAAATCCTCAATGCTCCTTGCTTTGTCACTAATAAAATAATCCATAAAGACCTATCCTTCCATAATAAACTTCAGAATCATCCCAACCCTCTCGTTTCTAACCTTGCTTCCTCTTCAATTCCTGATTACCCTCCGAGGCGTCTGAAAAGAAGATGGCCCCGTGATCTCCTAATGTAGTCATATCATTAGAGTGCTACCATTGGGTAGTTACTCAGCAAGTGTATTCATGTCATTATATCTATTATGTCCAAATTTACTTGAAGTATTTATGTAATACAGTTGTAACTGTCATTAATAAATAAAAAAAAATAAAAAAAAGGTTAAATCGGGGGGAAACTGGAGAAAATAGTTATTGGCCTAAGTGGTGATAGGGGTTAGCAAGGAAAGACAATATACCACAAAAAGGTGATCGAATCATCTCTTAATATATTATATTAGATAATATATTAATATATTATCTTAATATAATATATCGAATCTTGACTCTGGATAGAATAAGTTTGGTTGTACCTCAAGAACATCCTCCTCCATTTTGCCAGAAATAGAGAAGTAGGGTGTAAAAAAAAAAAAAATAGGGAAGTCGGTAACATTTATTAAGAAGGAGCCGAAAAATAAATCTTATTCCTTCGTATAGAAAACAACTAAGCTGTGTGCTTCAGACAGAGCTCACGATAGAAGTAAAAACATCAAAAAGGCCAGATTAATAATATCAAATATAAATATAAATCATAAATAGTGGCCCATCATAAAGATGATGAAATCTTGAACATTTCCCCCGCTAACAGTAAACAGGTCGGATTTGAGTATCTGAGATATTTTAATCCATATCTTCAATAAAACTCGTTATCATTTGTTTTTCGAAACTATTTTTTTCCTTTCCTTCTTTCTAACACGGCGTCGCGTTAAGATACAATTTTGAATAATAGCTCATTACAGAGAGAATGAAATGATGAACAATTCTCTCACCGACAATATGCAGATCTGATTTTTAGTTTTCGAGATATTTTAATCCATATCAAAAAACATTTCAATTAGTCCTCTCCAGCCGAATTTACCCGAACGTTACACATCGGAGATCTGACTTTATTCATTCTCCACAAAAAAAGTGCAAAACAGTGCTTAAGAAATTTTCAGTTCAAAAACCGGTTAAATTGATGCTTATTTGATGAATGAAACTTCGGTAAATTTATGAAGTAAACATAATAATAAATTCCTTAATTTTAAAAATTAATAATTATCTTTGATTGTATTATTAATAATAATTAATAATTAACTTGGTTGTATTATCCAAGTTATATATAAACAAAATATCATATTCATATGCATGGTTAAATAAATATAATTTTAGAGAATATCATAAATAAATATATATGATTTACCTGTACGAAGGGTTCGAAGAAACTGACTTGGCTTATCTCTTATCAATACATTTTGTCATCGATGTTGGTTAATCAAGCAAAACAAATATTATTAAATTGTTTTTATTTTAAACAATTTCAACATTTTTTCTATCATTTGTTTGGATAAAAAAAAATATCTACTTCTTTGTTTAATTTTCTAAGAATTTTTAATTTTTTATAGGTTATTTGGTACTTTACACTTTTAAAATATTTTGTACTTTTAATATTTTTTAAACTAAATTCGAGATAGTTGCAATGAGAAAAAAGTTTCCAAAGGCAAGCAGGATTACAGTATTAGACAATAATCAATTACTTTTATCTTGAAATATTTACGGCTTAGCGATTTATATAAAAAAAAATATTTTTTATTGAGTCTCGATTGTGCTATTTATTCAGTTCGATGGTTAAACTATTCGGTGAGATGTTCTATATGTTTTGAAACACTTGGCTTAGAACATTAGCGATTTTTTGTATAAAACGTGTTTAATCTATCTCTTATAAGATACGTAACGACTTGTTGAGTAAATGGCTCAACCTATGTTTAAGTGTTTAAATTACTCATAATCAGTAATGTTTTGAACTTAAATTACTGAAAAATAGTTTTTATTATATTTTAAGTACTCTAAAGACGGGTTAAACATTTCAAAAACACCGGAATTTTTCGATTAAAATCGTACAACCACCTCTCACTATAAGTCCGATATATCTACCCTTAACACGGCCTTTCACATTTCATTGTTAACTTTAATTATTGAATGGAATTTCATGAAATTGATAATAGACCATTTGTATAAAATTCCCTAAATTTCTTGAAATTTTGAGCCAACTCATTTGAGCCGATTTTAAAATATAGGCTTACAAGGAAAATACATTATTCGTAAGCGAAAGTATTTTTAAAAGTAGTGTATAGAATTTAATGAATTTTTGTTTTTAATTGTATTTATAATTCCTATTGTATCCAATCCTTACAATCCAAAATCCTTCGTAAAATCCTTAATACCCCATACTTTGTCACAAATAACACCATTCATAAAGATCTTAATGTTCCATATGTCGTTGATTTAGCCCGAGATCCTATCCTTTCATGATAAACTCCAGTCCCATCCAAATCCACATAATTCCAGCCTTGCATCTTCCTAGATTCCTGATAATTCTCCTAGGCATCTGAAAAGAAGATTCTTCTCACCTGAAATTAAATAGGGAGTGCTACCACTGGGCAGTACCTCTTCAAGTCTGTTCATGTCATGATTTCGAATGTGTGCATTTTTACTAGTTGTATTGTTTATACAGTTGTAAATTTCATTAATTAATAAATAATTTTATTTATATATCAAAACTGTTTAATACAGCATGGACAGTAATGCCTATCAAAATCAATAATAAAATATATGTCAGATATGAGGAAGAAAAATCTTTTCAATATTTGCCAAAATGTTTTTTTCCACCTCCATCATTTCCAAAATTCTTTCATTTTTGATCCTATCTCTTCTGGATTTTGTTGCTGCTCTTCTCCGAATATCCCTCTCTACTGCTAACAGTCTGTTTCGGTATCTTGGATTGGTGATCCAAGTCTCCGAGGAATATGTCATAATTGGCTGAAATATAGCCTTATGTATTAGTCTCTTTGTACTGGGATGTATATTCGAGCTCCAAAGAGTATTGTTGAGTATTGCTATGACTTATATAAATAATTTTTTTTTTTATAATTATTTATTGAATAATAATACAATCAGCCACTGCTGGAGGGCTATTAGTAAATATATAAATAATAGCTGATTGTTGAGTAATGAGCTATTACATATTATTAATCTCTCATTGTTGCTGTTTTCACTTATATCGTGTGATTTTTTTTTTAAGTTGACAATCAGCAAATGTGATGGCGATAATGATATAATAACATGACAGGCATGGGGAAGGAAAGTACTCAGCAGTACCTCTTCCCAAACTTGTTCCAATTACTTAGGTTGTCTAAGGAAGGAGATCCCTCATCCAACTTTTTAGTCTCCTGCTCATGTTCTGAGGTATGTCAGCTGTGGCCATGTCTCTTATAAGTCCGTTATTATGTCCATTTAAATTTGTGTAAAATCGTTGGTATAGGGTCGTTATATGTTGGTCAACTGTTGGAAAGTGGAGGTCAGTATGTAGAGTTTTGTTAGTCACGTACCAAGGTGCTTTTGTTATGAGTCGCAATAATTTTGATTGGAACGTTTGAAGTTTTTGTAGGTGGGTCTTTTTAGCGATGCCGTATATTTGTGATGAGTATGTCCATATGGGCTTCAGTAAGTATGTATATGTATTCAGTTTCTGTTTTAGTTTTAGTTTTGAATATTTGGCAAAAAGAGAGTAAAGTAGTTTGAGTCGTTTGTTAAGTGTCATACGCTTAATTTTAACATGTGGGCCCCATGTCATCCTTCTGTCGAAGGTGAGTCCAAGGTAAAGTACCGTGTCCGTTTGAGGAATTTGATTGTTGTCAATATAAACTGGAGGACAAGTGTTTTTTCGAAGAGTAAATGTTATATGTTTGGATTTGTCATGATTAAGTCGAGTTTTCCATAGTGTAAACCAATCTTGTAATTTAAGCAAATGATGTTGTAGATTGTGATGATTGTGTGATCTAAAACACACACCTAATTTTTTTGTTCTTAATATTTCTATGTAATTTCTATCACATTGTTTATAATTTTTATCTAAATATTACGTAACTACCACATTTTTCTATGTCATTTTGTATCTTGTTCGTTCTAGCCCTAAAGAAAACTTGCAAAGTCCGGTCGAAACGTTGGCTTCAAATAGAATATTTTTTCTCACTATTTTAGTTTTTTATGAATGCCACCCCGGACCATACCCTGCTATATATCTTCCGTGTATGGGCGTACGTAGAAGAGGACAAGGGACTGTCTTTCCTCCTCTCCCCTCCCCAAAATAACTTGAAACATAAATAAAAATGGTTTGCCGAAAATTCAAGAAAATTAATTTTTTTTGTTTTGTTTTTTTATTGATGATATTTACAACTGTATTACAAGTAAAAATACATTCAGTAAATGTGAACAGAGGAATAAAATAGCATGAAATCACTTTTTGAGAAACTACCCATTGGTAGCACTCTAAAAATGTATTTACAAAAGGAGAACTCGAGGCCATCTTCTTTTCAGACGCCTCGGAGGGTTGTCAGGGATCGAAGAAGAAGCAAGGTTAGAAACCAGAGGGTTTGGATGATTTTGTTTGTGACAAAATACGGAGCAGTGAGGATTTTAATGTAATGTAAGGATTTTGGATTGTAAGGATTGGATACGAGAGGAATTCGATGGCTTGGTGGAGCACCATAGCTCAACTCCGTAAGTCCAAATAGGTCTTATTGTAGTCATGTATATGAGTTTTTTTGTAATTGACTGGGAGGTTAGAGTGTTTGTCTTGTAAGTGCTGGAGTAGTCGGAAACGTCGAGCTGTTTCTTGTCGTTTCAGTCTGGTATGAGGATTCCAAGTTAGACGTTTGTCTAAGTGGAGTCCAAATTAATTGTTAAAAATTGTTCTATGTATATATTATATTTCATATACAAATATTTATAAATTGTGATTCAATAAACTTTTCTGTAATTATTTTTTCGTTTTTCCACTCCTCGTGTGAAAGCTGCACACTCTCTTCTCCCATGGTTTATTTTAGAAAAAAATAAAATAAACTCATAGATCTCTCATCCATGACCTTTTCAGCCTCCTCGTTATGTCAACCATATTGGTGAGGCCCGTCGTATCATTAGTTAATTGTTATGCCATTTTATTCACTGACTTTTGGCATTCTTAGGTCAGTATGTAACGTTGCGTTAGAAACATATCGAGGTGCTTTTGTAATAAGTTTAAATATTTTGTATTGGAATGTTTGGAATCTTGTTAGCAGAACCAAATACTGTTGGAGAGGTAATTTTAAGACAACGAGTAAAATTCAGCTTGTGGTGATTCTTGTTGGATACACTGTGTTGGTTCAGTCGGCAAAAACGTGCTTTGTGTAGGCATGTATTGCGCCACAGGCGGATCTACGGAGGGGGGGAGGGGGTTCTGGCTGAAGCCCCCCCAAAATGGTAAAATATAACAACGTTTTACAGAAAAAAAAACTATCTCTGAAAGTATTCTTGTTCGTGTAATTACATTTAATAGACTTCAAATTTGTCAAAAACTGAGACAAATTACTATAAATGGCCCTGTAACTTGGAAATGAGTTCCCTAAGAGGAAAAACCATAGAATCAAAGTTGTAGAGCATCAAATTTTGCGTATACTGAGTACAACTAATTTAATGTAGTCACTTGCTGCGAACAAAATCGTAATCTCCCGATGGTTAGAAATTGGTAATGAAGGTAAACGTGATTTTCAATATTTCAACAGTATGGGTGTCTATTCTACTGAGTTAGTTTTGTTTAAAGTCTGTTACATGCAGTATAAGCCTCTTTTCCACCTCTCAACAGCAAAGGATTTTGGTAAACGATGTGCCGAAAGATACCGAATTTTATAAAGGAATAACGAATCCCGATTCGAGATATATAATTGGCCAACAATAAAAATGTCAGTACTCAGTATACGCAAAATTTGATGCTCTACAACTTTGATTCTATGGGTTTTTCCTCTTAGGGAACTCATTTCCAAGTTACAGGGCCATTTATAGTAATTTGTCTCAGTTTTTTTCAAATTAATTATCGTTATATGTATATGTATAAAAAAATCTTTCGGGCTGAAGCCCCCCCAAAATTAAATCCTGGATCCGCTAGTGTATTGCGCTACCATCTTGCGGCCAGAGGTGAATCAACTGGAGGGGGGAGGGGCTTTCGGGTTGAAGCCCCCCTAAAATGGTAAAATATAAACATGTCTTATGAAAAAAAAATAGTAAAAAATTATCTTTCAAAGTATTATTGATCGTGTAATTACATACAACAGGACTTCAAGAATCGGTTAAACACCTATTCATATAGGTAGTTAGTTTCTTTATTTTTTACCAAAGTGATTATCGTTGTATATAGGGAAAAAAAAAAAGCTTCGGGGCTGAAGACCCCTTCCACAAAATTAATTCCTGGATCTGCTGCTACCTTGCGCCAGTTTGAGAACTCTAGTTCACTACACTCGATGTCCAGTTAGGTTTTATTTATTTTCATTGTTTTTTAAAAAAAATCTTGTTTTCATGAATCTTTAGCTTGTTCCCAAAGAGTAGTGTGCCGCTAGGTACAGTACACAAAGCACTTTTTTGCCGACTGAACCAACACTGTTTATCCATCTCCGAATCACCACAAACTAAATTTTACCGTCTCACCAAAATTACCAACGCAGTCGTAAAGTTACCCCATCTTACGGTATTTGCAAAGCATAAGAACAAATTGGTTTTACTAAGTATATTTCGGGCTGAAGCCCCCCTCTCCCTCCTCCAAAAATTGGTAAAAAGTAACCATGGTTATGGTGAAAATGATTAAAAAATGATCTCTTAAAGTATTATTGTTAGTGTAATTACATTTAATAGGACTTCAAGAATCACTTAAACACCTTTTCATATAGTACCTTAATTCCCTATTAGTATCTTAATTCCTTATTAGTATCTTAATCCCCAAAGTAATTATCGTTATTACTATGAAAAATGGTTTCGGGCTGAATCCCCCCCCCCAAAAAAAATCCTGGATCCGCCAGTGCTTCTCTCGAAGATTAGATCAAAACGCACGTGCGGTTTTTTTATATCATCCTAATCATTCTAATAATCTCTTAGGGATCAACATCTTTTCAGAAACAGCCTTGAAGAATCACTCTAAAAGGACCCCAATGATATTAAAAACTTAATATTGTTCCTTAATGAAATATTTCACAATCACATCACATCTACAAATTTGTACAAAATTTAATCACATCTTGTAATTTTAAATATAGGTATCTACGGGGAGGGGGAGGGGAAGGGGAAGAGGGAGCTTTCGGACTGAAGCCTCCCCCCTAAAAATGGTAAAATATAACCATGTTTTATTGAAAAATATATTAAAAAATTATCTCTTAAAGTATTATTGTCCCTGTAATTACATTTGAAAGAACTTAAGGAATCACTTAAACTCCATTTCATATAGTCAGATAGTCAGTTTCCTTCTTTTTTTTTCCAAAGTAATTATTGTCATTTTTTTGAAAAAAAAAAGCTTTCGGGCTGAAGCCCCCCCCCCCAAAAAAAAAATTAATTCCTGGATCCGCTAGTGCTGTTAAGTTATTTAAGTTTGTAGGTTTCTTTTCAAAATGTAAATATACCTGTTAATTTTTCTACTTTTAATCTTAATTTTTAATTATAGTGGTTTTTAAATTTTTCTTTTAATTTTTAATATTTAAATTGTACTTTTTAATTTCTCTTTTTTTAAACATTAATTTTATTTTTAAACCGTATTTTTAGATTATATTCCTGAAATCATTAACCATTTACTTAAATGTCTTTGTCAACTTAGCTTTTTCTAATCTTTAATTTTAATGGTTTTTGTCAACTTTTCTTCTTGTAATTTTTAATATTTAAACTGTAATCTTTAATTTCTCTTCTGTTAATTTTAATTTTTATTTTTTAAAAACGTATTTTTAGCTTTGGTTCTTAGATTGTTAACCTTTGTTAACTTATCTCCTTTCAATCTTTAACTTCCAATTGTACTATCATATTCACCTGTAACTATTTTTAATTTTCTAAACTTTATTTTGTATTTGCTAGCCGTAGATTTGTTATGAAAGCTTATTTAGTAGTTGATCCAATTGCAATATAGTGCGAAAATGACCAAGGTGGTTGAAGAGCCCAAAACATTTATAAATAAAGAAATAAGCATTCAACCTTTTTTCGATTTTGAACCAAATTGAACAAATCGTTTTTGAAATATTGTTGTGTCTATGAAAATACATTTGCCGCTGCTTATGCGAAAGTATTAGATAAAATTTGATGCAATTGCAGCTGTAAAGCCTCTAAGGAGGTTTAGGGTTTGTTTAATCAGATTTTATTTATTTTTTACTCCCTAATTTGTTTTTTAAGAAAGATTTACACACATTATTTAATAATTACGTAATATCTTTAATTATATTTTGTTACATGTGTAATATGGAATTAGAGCTATAAAGAATTATGAAGATGTATTACATACTTGCATAGGTGAATTTGATGGTGGATAGATTCAACAAACACTAATACTATAATATTAAATTTATTTCTATATATAACTCTGTAAATGATTACAATCACATCATTTTTAAATAAATTAAAATTTATCCGTTGCAAAATAAAATATAAAATATAATAAAATCAGTTATCATAAATTTCATGAATAATAGAATCTTTATTTCACATAATAAATGATAATAAAATATAGACAGATTAACTAAATATTGGAAAAAAATAGACTTATTTATGACATAATAAACTATTGGTAATTTATTCCTATTTGAAAGGCTGTGAGTCTGGATCATTCATGAAATTGAATCCATTGAGGAAGTTTGAACTGGATTCAGCTGTAAAAATAATTAGAAAAATGCAAATTCCCAGATTTTAAAAATAGAAACAGTTCAGGAAAGACTTGTGTGAGTAATATTGAAATTCTTGCCCACCCAGTGTGAATCATAAGCAAACCTAAAGCCCAATGACCTGAAACAATAAAACATATTGAATTAAAACTAATAACTAAAAACCGTATTTCGTGCAGTAAAAATCTAAAAAAACGTGCAAAAAAAAACTGAAAATGTTCAAAATTATGCAGTACAAATTCAAAATTGTTTAATTAACACTTATAAATGTGCAATATCATCAATACTGTTTAATTTATAACATTAATACAACGAAATCTTATCAGATCTTGAGTTAAAAAAAAAATATATTAAAATGTAACATTAAAAATGAAACTCGAGATTATAATCAGCTAATGACAACAATAAATATAATAGATTAATAAATTACGATTAACCTATTTCTTGAAGAAAGAGAAAATTAAACAATTATAAGGATTATACAAATCTAACACTGACTTAATATGCTTTTCATTTAACAACAAACATTTTAAGATAAAACACTTGGATGAAACATCTGTAAATTTTTTTTCTCTACAGAATAAGGTCTCAATAATTAACAGAAAAATATTTTGGGTGATAAATATTCAGGACGCAGTCATGATAAAGTTTTTATTATGAAGGTATTCAAGTACCTTCAGTGCTCAAACCAAGCCCTGACGATGACCCACATGTTTGGGTTGAAACGTCGGCACTAATAAAAACTTAATAATAACTGCGTCCTGAATATTTATCACCCATGATATGTAGTACAGTCGACTAACTTCCTTAATAATTCATGAAAAATATTTGTTTGAATTATCCTTAAATTAGTTAATTGGCCAATTGTTTGCTACACAAGGAATGAGATAATGCAGAACATAAATGCAGGAAGGAATTATAGGTACCTATATATTATATAGACCATACCAATTTTTGATATTTAATTTTTATTAAAAATAACAATGAAAACTTTATTTTTTAATTGAATTGAAATTTTCAATATTATACATTGCAATGCTTTATTTATAAAATTTAAAGAATTATTAATAAAATTTAGGAATACACTGTAATATTTGAGATTTTCAAGTGTTGAAGCTGTTTTTCTAGTGAAAAAAAAATTTTTTCCTGTGACAGAATTATTTACCTTCCTCATATTTTTTTAACTTGAATAATGAATTTAATTTAAACAATATAGTAAACAAAAATAAAAAAATATTAACACACATGTGTTTGTATCCCCACATATATTATACAGTAAGGCTGAAAATCAGTTTTGTACCAAATATAAGCTCATGTCATGCTCAAATACCATGAATGAGGTGCCTTTGGATTCTGAATTTCACGGGGTGTTAGTGAATCGTATTCTCCACTTTTGTTTTTCTTTCTAAAATAAATAAAGTCGATACAAACATTTTGCTAGGCTTCAATACAGGAACGGTGTTAGGTCTGTAGATCGATACCGGACAAATTGGGCTTTGAAGATTTTGATGCGTATAGCAAGACCCTGTCGGAACCCTGAAGTCGGATGCTCCGTTTTTAAGCCCCAAAACTTATTATTTTCGAGATAACGCAAGGCATAGGGTTCGCATCCACACAAACTTACGTTAATTGTAGTATTGTTATTTAATACATGTCTCATTTCGTTGACTTGAGGCCTCTATGATCGAGAGAGGAGGAGTTTATATTATTTATATCGAAGCTGTTTTTTGTCGGTAGGCAACATCATTGTTAATTCCTCAACAAATCCCAAGATTCAGCCACCGATTTTGAAGGCTTCCTTCTACTTCAGGCAGGCAAAATAGTCCAATCACCCCGAAAATTCAGGCCAAATAGTTACGAAAAAAAAAGAAACTTTATTTGCCAACAAATAAAAAATTACACACTTTTCCCTTGATTATATCATTGTCAATATAAAAGATTACTAAATTCCCTATTAAAGGAAAAAAAATATCATTGAAATTGGGCAATTTTTAGCAAAGATACAGCTTATTGAAATTTATAAACATGTTGGTTCCAAAAATTAATGAAATTTTAATTATTTTTTTACCCTACGTTGATTATATTTATCGAGAAAGTAAATATTGATTTCTTTATGTTATGTAGATAAAAAAACTGATAGTAAAATGAAGTAGATAGAATTATAACAATAACAAGAACTAAGAAAAAAAAAAAAATAATAACCGTAACAAAGCACGGACCAATGAATACGAAATAAATATAATACAAAGATTGAGATATTGTAAATCGAATAGTTTAAATAGAAAATTGAGATATTGTAAAGTCTATCAAAATGTACTGACTACGTATAAGAGAATAAAGATTTAAAATAAATGAAAAAATGTATCAATATATACAAAGTGGAGATGGATATATGGAAAATAGAGTGACGGGAAGGAGAAAATAAGGAGAAAATTATTTTCATTCATTCATTCAACTTCACCTACTATTCGTTCTACATTAAAAAATATCCACATATCAATGAGTTTATAGTACTAAATGCTTATATTCACAATTAACTACTTATTATAATTATATAAAATTAATGAATGTAATGAATGAGGTATATACATACTTGAAAAAAGCTTCACTGGTTTCATTTCCTTCTACTATATTTAAGTGTACATCTTTCTGCATTTCGCCAAGTTTTTTTGTCATAGCTTCTACAACAGCTTTGCCGTAACCTTTTCTTTTTTCATTTTCAAGAGTTTGGACCTAAAATATAATTTATAATAGATAAATACAATATTAATAAAAATATTTATTGTGATTCTTTTCTTAACACACCTATCCTTCAACTATACACCTTATTATTATCTTCATGCAGCCTACCATTCCATTACCGCTTTCAAAAAACTAAATGTCAATTGTCATCTATATATAGTACAACCTGTTTTTTGTTTCTTTATCATCATAACCTTGTTTTTACATTTATTCTTACATTTTAAAGTATTCTTTTAAAATTATTGTTTTCTTATAGAGTTATTTATACTTAATAATCTATCCCAACAATATTACACTATTGTTACCCTATTAATCTTTCAATTTCTTCACTTCTTAACCTTTGGTCCCATTATCTGTTTATTTACAATTAAAGGATTATTATGTTATCTTATCCATATTTTAACTTTACTGTAACAATAGTTATTCAATTTTCAATCTATTCATTCGTTAACATTCATTTATTCGTTAACATTCATGTATTTATTTTATTTTATCTATTTTCTTATCATGTATTTATTTTCTTTATCTTTTATTTCTGTATCTGACAACTTCTTCGTAATTTATATATACTTATATTTATTTTTTCAACATGTTTGTATCTTTTGTAGCCCTGAAGACGACCTGTAAAGTGGGTCGAAACGTCGGCAAAAATTAAAATTATTTCTATATTTTAATTTTTTTTATTTATTTGATCGCACCCTCGACTAACTCCTTCTCATATCATATCAACGGTCAACCATCTCTACATCATTAAAAATATTTATTAATTTTCAGAAATACAATATTGATAAAAATATTTTCTAAACTAATACATATTAAATTTAATAATATCTAATAAGCATCTTTCAAATTTCATACATTGAAATGACTGCATATGGCACTGTTGTCCATATGGCACTGTTGGTGCTATTTGATTTGAAAAATTACAATATTCTTGAAAGACTGTGCTGTATTTTATTTCATGATATAATAGACACGCTTTTTTAAATGATTGAGTAAAGGTATTTAGCATATATAATGTATAGCATAAATATATATATATTTTTTTTTTATTTATGAATATGGAAAAGATTTCTAATTACTTTTCACAGAGCATTTTGTTCAGGTATTGTTAGTGTTTTCTCTTTTTACTTTCACTTACCTATATATGAAATATATAGTAAGGGATAAATAAATAAATATGTATATATATATGGGAGCGGGGTAGCTCAGTGGTAGGGTACTGAGCTTCCAATGCAAAGGTCCCGAGTTCGAACCCCGGCTCATGGCAGAAAATTTATTTATCTGTTTCATTGGCCGTGGGACGACCTTGGGTCAGGAGTCCCTCCTGGGGCTCACCTAGCCTCTATAAAGTGGGTACCCTTAATTAAATAATTAATTAAGGGGGAAAACCTGGTGGTTGAGCGTGATCTCGGTCAAATCACCTCCTTGCACAACCGTTGACCTAGAAACAATGCTTTACCTAAATAGTACTGAACCCCAGACCCTTCATGGGTTGTAGTGGTACAGGTTTATATATATATATATATATATATATATATATATATATATATATATATATATATATACATAGTAATATTGCGGTCATGAAAATGTTCAAATCACAATGAATATAGATGCTTTGGGGTCCCCTGAATCCAAATAAGCAAGTCCTTCAAAATGGTCTGTGTGTGTGTGTTTGTGTGAACAGTCTAGCTCAAAAACAAAAAGTTTAACAAAAGTTAAATTGCATATTTAAGGTTTTTATATGCTTGAGATGTTACAGCAACTTTTTCATCAAAATCGGCTAATCGGAAGTGACACTTTATATCATGAAATAAACACATTTTTACGATTTTCTCGAAAACAGCTCCAACGATTTTGTTTAAATTCATTATATCAGCGTAAAATTAAGCAGTTTTAAATAAAATGTATTTTTTGTTCTGATTGATGTTCTCTAACATAACTTAAATGACTAATTTTCAATGTTTGCTTCATTTAAAGTACCTTTAATTTTTTTTATTTGAAACAATTGACCATTTCACATTCATCTCTAAAATAAACTATAAAATATGAAAGAATTTGATAATTAACTAAAAGAGAAATAAGAGATTGTAACAGAGTATAGTTGTAATTGAGAAACCAAAGGAATACACTCGAGCTCGCCCGAAAAATTAGAACACGCTTCCATACGTAACATGAGCTTGATATAATAAGGATTATGATAATATTATGTTAATATACATATGAGGGGGTTTTCATAGATACTGTTGTTGGTATTATTTAATATTTAATTGTATAGCTTACAGCGATATAAATATTAAAGTTTTTATATATAAGGGTGCTTATAAAAAGAAAAATACCCACAATGAAATATAAATCAATATAGTGTTTATAATTTTTACTTTCACTTCTTCTTTGTCTGAAAATATTTATCTCTGCTAAGAAGAATGTGGTAAATGAAAGTTGTGTGATGCGCACATCGCACCAGATTTTTTTCTTCTTTTATAAATATGGAAAAGATTTCCAATCATTTTTCACAGAGCAGTTTTTTTCAGATATTTTTTGAGTTTTCTCTCTTTTTTTGTTTTTTCTCTTCATATAGATTACAATACTTTTCTAATTCTTACAATACCATTATAAGTACACATTTGAACATCTTAAAGAACGGATATAAATCATTTATTGTATATATTTATCTATTTTATTATTATTATTTTTTCATAAATACATTGATTGGTTTGCCTATAAAAGTAATTTATAATTATTTTTCAATTTTATTTAGTTATTTTTACTTTATTGTTTTTAGCAACAGTTTGCAGTATTGTGACCTTATTGCTCATCTGTTTTCTTTAATATATTTTTAAAGCTATGTAAATACTTCTCTTATTACTTATATTTTAGTTGTTCTTTTATTGTAATATGTGACAGATTTAATGTTAATTTCTATGAACAATATTGCTATTTTTAAGAGACTTTGTCTGATAATAAAGTTGATTCTTCTATTCTATTCTATTCTATATCAAAGCACAGTTCTAACTATGCTCCTAATATTCTCTCTAGAGAAATAATGAATATATTGTTTGTAACAAGAAATGTAATTAGTATAATGAGAAAATAAAATGTCATTAAATTAAAACAATTTAGTGAATGAAAATAATTAAGAATTAATAAAGTAAGAGAATAAAATTTAACTAAGGAAAATCTATATAGGCTTACTCATTAGCATCGCTAACCAAGAAGTTTTCCTAATTTGTTTAAATATTAGTATATATTTAATTTTTAATTAGTATTTAATATTTAATGTAGTAAAAACAATTTAAAATACTGCAGATCCGAAATGACAAATGTAAATTTTATATACATATAAAATAAGGTAAATAGAAATTAATAAAACATTTTTCAAAGTTTTTAAAATTAGTTTTTAAATAATAAATAAATAAATATTGCCTAAAAAAATGGATTAATTAAAAAGTAAAAATGAAAAAAAAACATATATATAATTTTAGTAAATGAATATTACTGTTAATAAATTTTTGTAATTTATTCAAAACTTAATTAAGAAAATATATATAGTAACATAAGTGTTTTTCCTCCTGTTTTTTGGAAGAAAAAAGAAATGACAAAAATCCTGACTGATAAAAAAACTTTTTGTCAAGATGATATTGACAAATAATTTTACAGAAACTTTTAAATAATATATGTAAAGAAATGATCGAAAATGGCCGAAACATCACAAATATATATGTTGATATAACTAAATAAAAGTTTTTTAATATTGATAAAGGACTTTTATGTACAATGTTGTTTGGAGTAAAAATGATTGTTAATTAACTATTGAAAATTTAAATATTAAGTTCTGCAAAATTTATTCAACATTAAATTTTTAAACAGTTCAACCAGTTGTTTCATAACCTACAGGTATATAAAATTAATATGTGTGATCTGTTTATGTGCGAGTCAGTAAATAAGAATATTTTATGTAGTGTTTGTTTGTACAGAGCTACTATTGATAAAATTTACTTGACGTTTCCATTATACAGGGTTACGAAGGCATAGATGGGTTTATATAATTTTGTAAATTCATTACTTTATTAAATTATAGTGTACTAAATACAATGAATAATTTTAATATGATTAAACTCACAGCTCCGATCCCTCCATAGTAAAATTGAATTGCCCAGGATAGCAAATCATCTCCACGAAATACTCCAAGACCGAAATTATATCTGATTTGTCTTTCGAGCATTTGTTTAGATCCTGGAAAACTATGAGGCCATTCTATGTCTATTATGTCAGAATGTTCTGGATTTAGTTCTCTGATTTCCACTCCTTCAGGTAAACTATCGAAACAACAAATTATTATTGGTTTTATTTTATTATAACAAATCTTTCTTATACAAAACCTTAAAACAAGCAAATTAATGTTTGGCAAATGTTTTTATTATTCATGGAATTATGTTTGCTACTTTTTCAGTAGTAGCCAGGGCAATTTGTTAATTACGTCTTACGTGTCCCAACCCGATGGCCATCATCCAGCTCCTGACTCCCAGGACATCCTTGAATCTCTTGCCACACCGTCTGACCATCTTAGTTTTGGTCTCCCTCTTCTTCTTGTGCCGTAGAGAGGTTCTGTCAGGATCATCCTAGGGATTGCTTCATTCTCCATCCTTGCCACATGGCCAGCCCATCTCAATCTTCCAAGCTTCATCCTCAGAACGACATCTTGATCATTAAAAGTTGAGTAAATTTCGGCATTTGTCCGTCTTCTCCAATTTCCATCAATCTGTACTCCTCCAAATATTCTTCGCAGAATTTTTCTCTCAAAGATTAGGAGGTCTTGCTCAATTTTTTAGTTGTCGTCCATGTTTCTGAAGCACAGAGCAAGACTGGACGGATTAGTGTTTTATAGAGATGTAGCTTGTTATGCGGGGATAGAAGGCAAGAGGTGAATTCCTTGCGAAGGGCAAAGTAACATTGGTTAGCCATAAATATTCTTTTCTTGACCTCGACCTCGGGTGCATTGTCTTGTGTTACCAGTGACCCCAAATACTTAAACTGCACTTCTTTCTCAAAGTTAAAGTTAAAGGGGCCAATATTGACGGTCTCGCCTGGTCGAGGGACTTCTCCTGTTGGCCATTTATTTAGTTTTGCCTTCATTCACTTCTAATTCAAATTATTAATAGAAGAAACTGAAAAATATAAAATTGTAAAAATAAAACTTACTGAACTTGAAGCTCCTTAGCAGTGGACCATGGCATCCAGTAAATTTTACCTCTGGAATCAAACCAACTGTTTTTATCCATATAAGGTTTAGCAGCTAGGTGAGAATTACTGGTCAAACCAGATAACAATGTCATCGGCCTCAACGGCAGATTCAATGTAGTCGACATCAATGTTGTTTCCATTGCCTTTCGTGCCTCTTCATTTTCACAATAAATAGAACCAATAAGGCTTCTCTGCAAGAACGAAATAATACATTTTAATATAAAATTCCCCATAAAAAAAAAATTAATCAAGTTTTTTTTTGTTTTTATTGTGTGTGAGTGTTTAACAATTATCAGGATTTTTAAAATTTTACTGTATGATTAAAGAACAATGTAAGTTGCGACAATCAAAGGTGTAGGTAATAATAATAATAAGGGGGATATCTCCAAATCCAATCGTGCGATCAATTATAAGCACTTTCTTTTCTGTTGCATTAAACACTATAATGTCAACAAACCTTGCAGAGATCTCTTAATCTATACAATAAACTTCAAGGAAACATGTAAAGTTGTACACTATCATATAAACATTTAGTCAAATATGCATTAAAAACAATATGCATTAACTCAAGTTATTATCTTATGATCTTGAAAAAACAAATATGCATTCGCATAACAGTTACTTGTTATCAATAGAACAATGGAAACATATATTTGTTAACCAATTATAAATAAAAAGTTCATTGTTTTAAATATTTTGTTGTCGATTCTTTCTTTTAATAATTACAAGTTTTCCTTATAATTATGTTTCATTATAACACAATGAAAGTAAATGTTTATATTTAAATTGTATTGCAAATATTTTTTAATTTGCATTTATATTTATTCTGTTCTCTTGTTAAATTTTTTTTTTTTTTTGAGGACTCATTTTGGATTCAGAAAATAACGATAGGTTTGGAAAAAATAGAAGTAAATTCTATCCGCATGTCAGTTATATCTTAAGAAAGCAATCCATTTACAGTAATCCTTGTGATGTTTGATCATTTTATAATGGGTGGTATTATGTTCTTGGATTCCTACGTTTTTAGTTTTCCCATGTTACAGACCATCAAAGTAGGACTTCGTATCATAAAGTTCTGTGAAATAATGGAATGAAACACTCTTGGCATTAATTTTTTTTCTTCAGGTTTTACAGGTCTTGTAAATCTTTTGCTGCCTTCTTAACCAACCTTCTCAATTTCTGTCTGTCTTGGGCTATTGATTTTCAGTTATCAGCATGCAGCTTTGCAGCAACAAGATCTCGTGTTTCCGACCTTTATATCCCTTGCCATAGAACTAGGACATTTGAATATTCCTTTATAGCCCGATCCACTGCGTTCTGGAATTCCTTGCCATTTGCTATCTGCCATTCCTCTTCCTTGTCCTCATTTAAATGTCATCTCTACCAATTCCTTCTCACATCCCAAAATGACGCTATACAATGAAATAAATATTGTGAAACAGATTTTGACTGAGGTGAATGGTTGTTAAAATTGTTTGAGTTTTAATTTTAAAAATCAACCCATGCTTATATTATTTTTTTATTTATTTTTTACCTGATTTCTGTTGTTTTTTTTTCATTTAAATTATGATTTTTTTTTTTTTCAAAATGGTGTTATTTTGATATACTCTTACTGAAGATACTGTATATATTCTTTAATGTTGGTTAATGTCATTTTTGGCCACATGTAGTTTTTATTTTTTTGTTCATTACTATTATTAATAAGGGATCTCGTCCCAGAATGAAGTTTATTTTCTCTCTATCTATCTACTATTGAGACATTCATTGTTATTTATCCTCCTATCCTTCTGATCAAGAGATATTGATTGTCCAGTTTCTATAAGAGTTTTATTGGTTCAGCTCATCCATGTGTTAGTACTCTGATAATAGATTTCTCCGGTTATTGTGTAGAGGATTTTCCTCCCAAAAATTTCAATACATATTTCTTTATATTTAGTAGTATTACTGACTAGATACAAATTATTAATAATAACTGGTGAAATTATCGTTTAAAGAAAATGAACCTTATTTAAGACCGTATTGGCCATCTGAGACAAGAGGATCAATTAAGGTCTGAAGATATTATTGATAGATATGAAGTAATCGCCTTTTGCTGATTTTATCATTAATTTTATGCCGTAATTAAAGCTGGAGACATTGGTAGATAGTGCTTTCCCTGAAGATCTGATATACCATTCCAGAATATTGAAATTTCTTTAAGAATTATTTAAACCCAAAATATTGTAACAATGAATCTAAATGATTTAAAATTAAAATTAGTTTTCAATTCCTTTAATATAATATTAATAATAAATTCTTACTGTGTTGAAGTTGAAAAACTTGTCATTAAGTGGAACAGAAATCAGAGATATTTATTTTTTTTTTGGAGTTAATATGTCTTTTAATTTCTAAATTAATTGATATCTTTAAATTTATTATATATTATGCATATGATGGTTGAAAGTATATTATTAAATAATTATATTATATGATTGTCAGGATTTGACTGAAATGAAAAAAAAAAAAGATGAACAAACAAATTTACTACTTAACATGTTTTAGCTCATAGGATGTAAGGCGATGAAATTAATGAAAACAAAAATTTGAAAGAGATAAATTACAAAAAAAAATAAAAGAATCTAACGAAGTAGATATTATAGATTTATGCCTTATATACTTTAATCGATTAGCGACTATCAGAACAACTTATTATATGTAGTTATTATTTTTTCAAGTAATTAAAAAAACAATACTTTAAATAAATAAAACTATGACAAATATTGTTGCCCAAAATCAGTCTTCGTTCGTCTTGCACTTTGCAAGTCAAAGACCAAGACCTAACTTGCAAGACCAAGACCAGGACTGGTAAAAAACTCAAAAATATAATTTATTTAATAGATTAGCCAAACACCAATAAATGTTTTATTCTAAGCACACACTTATTTTTTCTTACTTCTTGTAATTGGAAAAATATTATACCAAGCCTGTAATCGCCTCCAGGAGCCCAAAAAAATATCTCAAGGTCTGGATTTGCCCTCTTGTATTTGAGAAGCATGCAAGCATATTCGTGGACCTATAAACAAATATCAAAACCAATAAAGAATTATAATTAATAAGATTCAAGTATTTAAATATTTTTTGTAAAAACAATTATTTATAATGTCTGAAATTTCATGAATATTTTTGTGGTTCAAGCCCACATTTCCCTTCTTTCCGACTGTGCTTTGGGATTGTAAAGAAAGTTTTGTAAACAAAAAAATCAGAAGCTGCAAAGAGTATCAAATTGTGTATGTGCAGAGCTGCCCAGAAGGAGGAGGGGTTACATATGAAAAGTTGCTCCAATAAAATTTTTGAGGAGACTCACAATTTTACGGTGATTTGAGTTTTTAAGGGGCCACATTTTGGGATATATGCTTTCTATTTAAAGCAACTTTCAAAACTAGGAACTAGATAAAAACCTAAAATATAGTGATGGTAATAGTGTATAATCAATATTTTAAATTCTACTTTCGCTTTCAAGAAGAGATGGTCAATAAACTTTCTTGGGTTAGGGAAAGAGAGGGGTAGTGCCAGCCTTAAGGTTGGGCGCTGGACGATCTTCAGGGGCTCTCGCTACTTGTTAGAAATAAAAAAAAAAAAGTATAACGTATTAAAATTATTAATTTTAGTCTATCAAAAAAGAAATTGTATTAAATGAATAATAATGAAGAACAGCATAAGAAATAATTTTTAATTTATTTTTTTGTTGGGGGGAGGGAGGAGATGACGTCATTGCCCGAGGTCGCCGAATGTCTAAGGCCGGCACTGGTGGGGGGGGAGGATATGGGCACTCTTGTGTGTGTGCGTACGTGTACGGCTGTATGTATGCATAGCGTGCGTGTTCCACCATTATCTCTGGTTTAGCGATTCTGTTATTTTTTATTTTCACTTACCTATATATGAAATATGTAGTAATGGAAAGTATTGCGAACGTGAAAATTTTCTAATCTGAGTTTTCAACTGAAATACATGTTTTGAGGTCCTCTGAGTCGAAATGACCAAATCTCGCAAAATTTTCTGTATGTGTGTGTTTTAACAGTCTAGTTCATATGCGGTTTTCGTAAATGCTACTGTTGGTATTTTTAATATTTAATTGTATAAATTGCAGAGATATAAATATTAAAAATATAAGGGTACTTATCATCATCATCATCATCATCAAGGGTACTTATACAAATAAAAATACTCCGATAAAATATAAATCAATATAGCGTTTATAATTTTTATTTTCACTTCCCCTTTGTCTGAAAATATTTATTTCTGCTAAGAATAGGACGGTAAGTGAAAGTTGTGTGATGCGCGTACCGCACCAGAATTTTTATTTTTGGTTTCGGCCACCGATGCCTGTGAAGTAAATTGGGTGGTTCCTGCGCAATAAGGGAAAAATATAGTTTTTCTATAGAATGTAACGTCAAAATGTATGTTAAATAATAAAAAAATAATTATTAATATAAATAATTCATTATATAAGAATTGGAAGTTGAAAATAGTTACTTGAAGTCTGAGAATACTTGATTAAATCATAACAAATCAATATCTTTTCATGAAATAAAATAAAATTATCCTTAAAAAAACTTACATGTACAGTTTCCGGTATGTGCTTTCGCAAATTATACAAAATGGTTGATATATGTTCTTCAGGTACTTCCTTCAGTGAGAGTGGCAGTCCATTAACTTGTACAGGTTCCATTCTTGTAAAAGAAATATTAATCGTATTAATTATTATTAAGTTTATAAATATTGTTATTGTTATTTTAAACTAATCTAAACAGACGAAAAATAACTCTTTTCGTGATCTAACAATTGGGGACACGCCCATCCTCTTCTAGTAATCAGGCCTGACGAGAGAGGGGGCAACCGGACATATAGTAGCCTCAGAGTCCGATCTGGATGAATATGTAGTATAGATATTTATTTATTTATGTTCTATGCAATTTGAACTTATAATATGTATAATATATATATATATATATATATATATATATATATATATATTATGTACAATAATATATATTGCGCTTATAATATGGTGTTGCAGTATAAGTTATACTTAAACTGTTTTGGTGTGTTTGCTTGATCTTGTTCTTATCGATGTAGTAGGTCTCTTGGCCATTTTCTTCTTAATCTGCGTCATTCAGGTAACAGGGAGCAGGAGATAGAAAGAACCAGAGGATTGGAGTGAATTTGGGTTGAAGAATGAAATGTAATGTATTTGTTGTGGATGCAGGATTTTACTGTTAGGGTGTTTAAGTCGTTATGTATAGTATTATTCGAAATACACTAAGGTGCGTTAACAATTATACGTAAAATTTTCGATTGTGCTGTTTGTATTTTTTTTATGTGTGATTGTTTTGCCGAACCACAAAGTTCTGCTCCATATGTCCATGTTGGTCTCAGTAAGGTTTAGATCAGTCGCTTGTTTCGTAAGTTAAGTGAAGATGTGGAGTCCAGTAGATGTGAAAGTTGGCTATATCGTCTAGTAAGTTCTTGTACTTTTAATTTCGTATGTTCCAAATAAGTTTTTTGTCTAAGTAGAGTCCAAGGTAGCGTACATATTTCTTTGAAGGCACTGTGTTATTGACAATCGTTACGGATTACGTGGACCTGAGGCTTTCCTAAGAGAGAAACTGAAGTGGGTGGATTTATTATTATTTATTTTGATTTTCCATTTTTCGAAGCACTTGAACCACCTGGGTGACTAAGTTTTATATTTTATTTTTAAATTCGTATATAACAAAATATTATACATATTATATATTTATTAGATAATATAACTTTCGGGCTGAAGCCTCCCTTACAGTATCCAGTTCCAATTTTTAGTTTCTGAGATATTTTTCATAAAACTCGTTATTATTTGGTTTTCGACATTATTTTTCGCCTCTCTCACAAGGCGTCGCGTTAAGATACAATTTGAATAATAGCTCATTACATAGAGGATGAAATAATGATCATTTCCCTCACTAACAATATGCAGGTCATATTTTTGTTTTTGAAATATTTTAATCCAGATGCAAAAACACTTTAATCAGTCAGCTCTAGTCGACTTTACTCGAGCGTTACACATCGGAGATCTGACGTCTCAATTTAATTCACTCTCCACCAAAAAATTGCAAAACGCGCCTAGTGAAGTTTTCATAAAAAAAAACAATACTTAGATCTTTGCTTTTGAGGCTTAATACTTAGAGATTAATAATTTAAAGCTAAATACTTTTGAGGTCAATATTCTCGAGTCAAACGATTCGAATCCGGTCTGGGCGGGTTAAAATTTATTTCATGGCGACCCATGGAATGAATGTCAACATTCCCACTATGGTTAGAATTAGTGTTGCCCAAAATCGGTCTTGGTCTTGCATGATGCAAGACCATGACCAAGGTCGCCTAACTGTTACAAGACCAAGACCAGGACTGGTAAAAAAAAATCGAATTTTTGAATAAAAATTAAGGAAAATAGTTACTAATACTTGACAATCTAAGTTACTATACGTAAATAATTGGTATAACCAATATAAGTTTGCATTTAACTTCTCTAATTTTTCATTCGGGCTTAGTTAGGCCGCCCCTATCTAAAAAATTACAGTAATATCTCTATAGTAATAAGCTAATAAGTAAATGCAAGACTGTTGCGAGACTCTTGCACAAGACCAAGACCATGACTAAGACTGAGTTTACAAGAACTCGTCTAGGTCTCGCATTTGCGCAACACTAGTTAGAATAGATTTGGTTCTAATTCTAAAACAATCCACCATATGCCAGATATGGCAGGGGTATCGAGAAAAAAAAAAAAAAAAGCTAAATAGTTATTAACACGAAAAATAAGATTTAGGCCCTCTCTGTGCTACACGAAATGGTATAAACCCTGTATTTGTAAATAAATTAGAACTAAAGCTACAACATAAAAAAAGGTTAGAAGTTTTCAGTGTCAAATAGAAGAGCAGTAATTCAACTTTGCAACGGTTATATTAAAGTTGAATTTGAAGAAAATCCTGAAGAGTTATCAATGCTTTAGTTTACGGCCAGAAAAAAACTTATCCAAGAAAATTAAGCAGTAAAGGTTGTATTTTTTAAACTCTACAGGGTATTTCAGAATTAAGTGGCCAAACTGCGAAAATTAACTCACGACCTCAAAACAAGAAAAAAATTTCCTCTGAAGGTATGTCCGCAAACACTTTGTTTAGGAGATATTCACACCTAAAGATTTTTGTTATTATGAATTATTTACATTATATTAAATAAATAAAATTTATTTATTTGTTCCAACTACTTTATTAATTAAACGTAAACATTAAATTCATATTAAATGTTGTTAAAACTGATGAATGTTAATGTTTTAAATACAAAGTTAAAAATACAAAAACAGGCAATACATAAACACAATAATCATAAATAATATTAGAAATATATTTTTTTTTTTATTGTAATGAAATTTACAACTGTATTACATGAGAAATACAACAAGTAAATATGACATTGGTAACATGACATATACAAGATGAAGAGAAACTACCCATTGGTAGAACTCAAACTAAAGTTCTATATTAGAAGGTTCCGAGGCCATCTTCTTTTCAGACGCCTCGGAGGGTTATCAGGGATAGCAAGGTTTGAAACGAGAGGATTCGGATGGTTCTGAAGTTTATTATGGAAGGATAAGTATCTGGATTGGACCAGATCTGAAACATTAAGGTCTTTATGGATGATTTTATTTGTGACAAAGTAAGGTGTATTAAGGATTTTACGGAGGATTTTGGATTGTGAAGATTGGATACGAGAGGAATTCGATGGTTTAGTGGAGCCCCATAGCTCAATTCCGTAAGTCCAAATAGGCCTTATTATAGTCATGTATACGACTCGTTTGTAATTGATTGAAGTTTAGAGCGTTTGTCTAGTAAGTGCTGCAGTAGTCGGAAACGTCGGGCGGTTTCTAGTCGTTTCAGTCTGATATGAGTGTTATTAGAAATATATAATGAAAAATCAAATTGATTGAGGTTATATGTGTCTATAAATAACATCGAAAATAGAAAGTTTGCTTAATCGATAAATTGGTAATTATTTGTAATGAACGTAAGGTGAAGGGGTCATAAGGGTATCTGTTGCAAACCTTATCTAAAACATTATGGATAACCTGGCATCAATCAAGATGGCTGAAAGAGTGCCACTTCGGAAGTAGTACTCTATATCTTATCTTTATATTCTATTTTAAAAATTTAGTATTTATTTGACCGTACACTCCTCCCTCTCCCCTCCCGATCACCGATCAATTCCTCATATTACATCACGGTCAACCGTCTCTACACCAATATAAATTTTAAAGGAAGGAGATGGTCCGGGGTGGCAGTTATAAATAGGCTAAATAGTGGCAAAAATATTTTATAAAAGCCAACTTTTCGACCCGACTTTGCAGGTCTTCTTCAGGGAGGTGTGTTCAGCTAGGAGTTTCATTTAGAACTCGATAGGCTAAATAGTGACAAAACTATTTTATTAAAAGCCAACGTTTCGACCCGACTTCCAGTTCTAAGTGAAACCCCTTGCTGAACACACCTCCCTGAAGAAGACCTCCAAAGTCGGGTCGAAACGTTGGCTTTTAATAAAATAGTTTTATTACCTCGGATCATCTCCTTTCTTTATACTGCAATGGTCAACTATTAAATATACAATATAAATTTTGTTTGAATTTTTTTTTAAAACTTATTTATTGAAAAATATTACAGTCTGTCTCAAGGACATTTATAATAGTGTTCTGAGATCACATTCACACTCTATGCACAATAAATAAAATAAATTATACAGAAAAATAATACATATATACAATAAATAAGAATAAATCGCTTCGGCGGTACTTATACTAAAATTGTTTGAAATTAAATAAAAATTTTTTTTCTCTGTTCATAGGACCCATTGGAAAGAACCCCGGGACACGTGTGTAATATATTTCGATTTCTTATCACGAAAAAACATTTGGTTGAAATCGGTGACCCACAGACTGTATTCTGTTCTTTTTAGTAACTTATTCCTGTACTAAACTATGAAATCGATAGTGTCAGAGCATAGCTATCATCGGTTATTACTTTCACATATCTATATATGAAATATATAATAAGGATAAGTATTGCAATCGTGAAAACTTTTTAATCTGAGTTTTCAACGGAAATAGACGTTTTGAGGTACCCTGAGTCGAAATGACCAAGTTCCGAAAAATGGTCTGTGTTTATGTATGTTAACAGTCTAGCTAAAAAAACGAAAAGTCGTACGAAACTGATATTTCGTATTTAAGATAGGTATATGCCTTGGATGCGACAGCAACTTTTTTCTTAAAATCGGCTAATCGGAAGTGCCACTTTATATCAACGCTCAATCACATTTTTACAATTTTCTCAAAAACGGCTCCAACGATTTTGATTAAACTCGGTGTATCATTGTATAATTAAGTGGTCTTTAATATCAATCAGGTATTATCCTCATTGATGTCCCTTTACAGGGCTTAAATGCCCAATGTTCATATACGTCTTCCTCTAAAGTAAAGTACCTTTGATATGGTTTATTGAAAAAAATTAATCATCTAAAGTTATTCAGAGTTACGAAAAAATGATAAGTATACCTTTTGAAAGAATTTGATAATTGAATAAAGGAGAAAAAAATAAATATGCTTATCCAAGTCGAAAATGAATCTCCAGAAATATCAGTCAGAAGGTAAAC